GCATGTCCAAGCACTTTTCTTCCCTTCCTTTGCTATGGCACAAGGTGTTGGTGAGTGTTTGAAGGTTTGTTTGTATGGAGGAATGGATGTGAAGATGAATGGATGTGTTTGGATGAAGGTTGTGTTGAAATGGGAGTGAATGATCTAACAAAGTATGAACTAAATTTATGTTACACACACTTCCTTTTATAGAGGAAGTGCATGGCAATGGAGGGGAACATGGAGTGGTGTAGCAATTGAGTGCAATGATGCATGAAATCTGAAATGATGAAGGGAACAAGGAATGGTGTAGCAATGGAGGGAACAAGGAATGGTGTAGCAATTGAGTGCAATGATATGATGCATGAAATTTGAAATGATGGAGGGAACAAGGAATGGTGTAGCAATGGAGCTCAATGATTGGTGTTTGAAATGATTCAAAGGTGAAAGTGAAGTGATGATGCAAAGCATAGGGGTAAAATGGAGTGGTGTTGCAGCTAGGGAACATGAATGATTGTGCACATGGTAGAGAAAGGAAAGGGAGGTGGAATGATGCAACAAATGAGTCAATAGAGGGAACATGGATGATGATGCACGGCATAAGAATCCAAAGAGAGTGCAATGGTGGTGCACGACAATGATGGAAAGGTGAATGGTGGAGTGACACCCCTTTGTGGCTGAGCTCTTTGTCCTTTTTACATTAATTTTTCTTTCTCTTTAACACATTCCTAGCCTCTTTAGTCTTCAATTTCGTCCATCCACCTTGCTCCATGCATGTGCTATTCATTCCAAGCCCAAAAATGCTCCAAAATGCACCAAAATGCATCTTATTGCTTCATAAGGCCTATGGACCTACAAACACACGAAAATTGCTTAAAAGACATAATTAATTAAGAAATAACAACATAAATGCATGAGAACAAGCTAACTCAGTCGCATAAATATGCTCCTATCAGAGATGGAGTGAAACATTTAGCAATTTGAGCACGCTGCTTTTCTTTGGTTGACTCTTGATAAGCCTGTTATAGATAACAAACCTTTAAGTTTCTGATAAAGCATCCTATTGATTGAAGTGAAAGCACAACATACTCCAAGATAGTGGAATGAGATAGAAGCAAATAATCTAATTTGATGGCATTACAGAGACCAATAATGTGGTGCATCATTAGTTCTGGAATACATATAGAATTTCCAATCCGAAGTTTTTTTTTTTTAATGTTTCAAAATGATTGTCAATTCAATATACTGATAATTCTCCAATCAAATTAGATCTTAGAGAACAAATAAAAAACATTTGAACAATTGGTTTTCACTGTAATGCCATCAAATTACAAAGAAATTCAGCAGAATCGGGAGAGGCTCGAGGATTTGGCAAAATGGAGAGCTCAATCTGAGCAAAACTTGAAAGTGATTTATATCACATCTGTAATTACAATGGCATAAAATCAACGACATTTTCAGCAACCTTCCTCAAGTATGTGAAAATTTCCTGATCTCTCGTAAAATTCCTTAAAAATATTCACGGTCAAATGAACCGTGTCAAAAACACAAATTTCCTGGAAAAAAAAAACACAACAAGAAAGGTTCTTGGAAGGGTATGCAGGTATATAAACTTGAAAGTGATTTTCTTTTCTACAGGACAATTTTAAGGAATTAATGACATGGAAGGATAAAGTCAAGCAACATGTCATGGAAATTACAAATGTTTTGAATGATATGCAAGGACCAAAGCAGGTCGAACCAACCAAAGCAAACCAAAACATGTAGTGGAAATACAAATGTTTTGCATATTAACTGGGTGTTAATGAAATCGAAACAAGCAAATCAGAAACGAATAATAATGGCACTTCAAATTTACATCAAAATTAGAACCTTCTGGAAGCAATTTTTTATTTTATTTTTAACAAGGAAAGAGAGACCGAGAGGTTACACAAAAACAGATCGAACCTGGAACGAAGATGCAGAGCTGAAGATGCTACATGGAAGAGGATGAGGAGGAAGGTTCGCAGAGCTGCTACACGAAAGAGTTGCGAAGGGGAGATGCAGAGCTGCTACACGGAAGAGGATCAGGAGGAAGGTTGCGAAGGGGAGATGTAGAGGTGAAGAGGTTACACGGAAGAAGATGAGGAGGAAGGTTGCGAAGTGGAGATGCAGAGGTGAAGAGGTTCACAGTGGCTGAGAAGAAGACAAGGTAGTTTTTAGGGTTTGTTGTATGATTTTGATGATGTAAATTTTGAAAAAGACAAGGAGCATTTTTGTCTTAAAATGTTATAAATTTGTGTCCCACGAATGTGGAACAAGCCATTCCAGGGGGGAGGTGGAACGAAAAATCATCCAAAACTTGTCCCGTGGAACACTGCGTTCCACTCGTTTTAGGCACACCAAACGTGGGACGGAACGCCTCATCCCACTCCGTTCCGTCCCGTCCCAGTACCAAACGCGACCTTAATTATAACCCTTCTTTTAGGAAAGGAATACATTTTGATTCCAAAATGAATAAATCGTAACTTGGGGATTTGAGTGTTTATTTGATTTTGTGATTGCACCTAGGTCGAGCCCTAGATTGCCTACGAACCCTCATTGAGAGATCAAGTCACTCATAGTTCATGATGTATTGTTGGGGTTTGATGCTTTGTGGAATTTTAGCTCGTTTGGGCGAGAACTTTGAGCCATTGGAGCGTTTGATGCGTTGTGCAATTTTAGCTCTTGCGGGCGAGGACTTTGAGCCATTGGAGCGATTGATGCCTTGTGCAGTTTTAGCTCATGCGAGCGAGGACTTTGAGCCATTGGAGTGGTGTGCAGTTTTAACTCGTGTGGGTGAGGACTTTAAGCCATTGGAGCGTTTGATGCCTCGTGCAGTTTTAGCTCGTGCGGGCAAGAACTTTGATTCATTGGAGCATACTGATGCCTTGTGCATTTTTAGCTCATGAGGGCAAGGACTTTGAGCCATTGGAGTGTTTGATAAGGCTTTGTGCCATTTGAAGTGGCTTTGTACCATTTGTAGCGGCTTTGTGCCATTTAAGACTTGTAGCAGCTTCGTGCCCTTTGATATTCAATAAGGCTTGGTGCCATTTGAAGCGGCTTTTGTGCCATTTAAGACTTGTCGTGGTGCAATCGATTTTATAGCTAGTTGCTAACTCTTCTTATCGGGCATGTAGTCATGCTTGTCCTCTAGTCTTTTTCTTTTGATTAAGAAGAAATTGCGCTGGAGCTTGCTAGTAACAATTAACTTTCTTTATGAAGCTTTCTTCCAATTCACTTTGCTGTTTTGGAATTTGGGCATTTCCATGGCGCTTTTCTTTATGGTTTGTTGTCTCTCTTCAATGAGCACAACCACTTAGGTTTGATGTTAATACTTCAAAGCTTTTTTTAAATTTGCCTTTCTTCCACTTGAACTTTCCAAAAGCTATTTTTGGTGGCTTTGGATTCATGGAATATGCCATTTTGACGTGCTCTGTACTTTGGCCCAAATACTTCTCACTGGGGGTCATACTCTGTGACACCCATGTGATGTGAGCAAGATTCTTTCTTTCTTCCTCTTTTTCTGGAACATCCTTTGAAGAATGGAGTAGCAGCAACGAGCCAAATTCTTTGAGTCGTATTCAACTTTTGCCAACAAGTTTCTGCATAGTTGGTGATTCATTGAAGGGCAGGTTTCCATGAAGATGGTCTCCATACTTGTTTTAACCGTTTGAAACTAGTGCCTTTACCATGATGTTAATTGCCATCTTGTTTAGCACACATGTTTGCCAAAGTGATAACGTCTACATGAATAATATGGAAAAGCTACTCTCCTTTTTATTCTAGTTCCACGTGGATAGTATTCCCATTTAATTTTTTGTATTGCAACAAGTACCAAAAAATGACTAGTCATAATCATGACTAATGTTTGGAAGCCACGTGATTGGCTAAGGTTCTGGCAGTAGGCATTGGATGCCTCTTTTTGTCGCCCACTTGCTCCAATATAAATGTTTGCTCCCGAAATCCGCCATGGGCTTCGCGGGCAAGCTGGGGATTTACTTCACATACGAGATTGGTGGGTGCGGACGTGCCACTACTAGATACCGCTAGCAGACGGGATTTGAATGATTGAGGTTGCGCCTTTTGACTTCAAATCAAGAGATTGTGCCATTTAAGTGGGAGTTGCTCAAATCAAGGTTCTTTCTTTGCCTTAAAAATAAGGACTTTACTTATATGGATAGATAGAACAGTGTGTAAATGACAAGGTTGCTTGGAAATGTAAATGATAGAGGAAAGTGACTAATATTGCAGGGTGCTTGTAATTTAAATGACTGAAAATGAGTTGTACATGAAAACTACAAAGGAGATCGATACTACAAGTGAGCAGCTGAGCTAATAAACTAGACAAAAGATGGCTTTTGTGAGGGCTGATCCTGAAAAGGATGAAGGCTTGGGGACTGACTACAGTTTCGTGAAGGCAAATCTGGTTTGAGCAGAGTTTGTGCTTGTATTTGTTTGTTTGATTGAGTGTCCATAATCCTTATGCATTTGCCCCTTTAAATAGAGATCTGAAAAGAGCCACATGCTGAGAACCTTGTACTTGCCCGAAAGAAACTTGGGCAGCTTGCATTGCTTTTGCCAACTTGCATGGAGAAATAATATTAAAAGAGGAACTTGCATTTCCACCACATGCTTTCATCACATGTTTTCCCACTTGTAATAAACTAACATTTAAAAGAAGCTAGTTGGCTTCTTTCACATGTTCTTTGCATCCACATCCGTATGTTGCCTTCCAACCCATTTGCAAGGATGCATGTATCTTGATTAAACAAAGGCTTGACAAACCTCCACCACCCAAACAAATGGGAAAAACAATATTATAGTGCCAAACTCATCCACTTGCAGCCAAATATCTTTCCAAGTTAGCTTTCTTGCATATTAATCCTTCAAATACCATATTTTACCCCAATGACCCAAATAAGTAAAAATGGGCACATTTTGGGTGCAAACAATAAATTCATGTACCTAGCAAAACCAATTTGCTTTCGGTGCCCGACAGAAGCAAAGAAAATAAGGAAAGCTTTGCTTTAAAAATTGTCATTCCTGCCAGTAGAAATGATGTGTGGACGGTGGACCACGAAGTGTCAACCATGGTGGTTCTCTGCCACGGTGCGGACCTTGGATTAGTCAGAGCTTTAAGTCATCTTCAGGCTGTCAACGAAACAACCTTGCCCGTCTTCTTCTTCGAAGCTGCGAAACTCTTTGAACGGGCATGTAGAGAGCTTCTCCTTTGACCTCTTCTTCTCCTTGTCTCCGGCTGTAGCTGGAGATTTGGGGAATTGTGACAGCAAAAGCATGCGTCTTTGGGTCAATGGCCATTTTGTTTGCTGCTCAGTGTGCCCATGCGTGGTGGTGCTCTCCGAACACGGCTTCAAGCCTTCAATTTCAAGTCACTTGCTTGTCTTTACAGAGCGAAGAGAGAGAGAGACGCAGATTTGCACAGAGGAGCGGCCATGGTTGTTCTTGAGAAGAGAAGCAGTGGTGTGAAGGCCTTGTGCCCCTTCTAGAGGATCACCAGTAACGATGATTAGGAGATGGCGCTGCTACGGACTCTGGAAAGGTCAGTGACGACTTCTTTCTTTTTTTTTTCTTTTTCTGCTGCAGGGTCCATGCTTGTTGTTGGTTTGCATTCCTTGTGGCACGCTTGCTGCCATTGAAAGGGAAGATTTTTATTTCCTTCTGTCTTCTCCAGCAACTTACGGAATCAGGCACTATGTTGTGGTGACAGATGGAGGACCGCGGACGTCTTCTTTCTCAGGACGGATCATGGACGATGGAGGGCATCAATCACTTAGATTTGGTTGGAACTTCACGGGGTGGTTTAGACCACCCCGAAGAAATTCATGTGATTTTGGAGATTATTTCTGCATCTTTTTAATGGGAGCACATCTTTCTTTTTGCGGCTGTTGCTGACCAAAGTTTACTCAAGACAATGCTTGCCTGCAAAATAAATTTACTGGAGAGAAAATGAAGAAAAATGAGACATAGGTTTTGTACCTTTTGATTGTTGCTTGTAGTTTGCTCTCCTTCCTTGAAAGGCTTGGTTCAGAATTGCCGGTAATGGAATTACTTCTTGTCTTCTGTTCCGGCAATACTTCGTTGCTTCTTTTCTTTTTTCTCCATTTCTACTGCAGCTAGTGCCTATTTATAGGCATCCAAGCGCCATGTTCTCTGCCACTTTCTCTTAACTTCCCCCACTAATTGTATGCAGTCCTCCATGTTCTTTTGTTGCAGAAAAATAGGGAGCTCATGTTTTGCACGTCATCTTCTTTTGTGCAAAGAAACACACATTTTTCTTACGATTTATTTATTTATTTAATACATAACTGACAGCACGTCTTCTTTTGTTGAGGAAGCCATGTTTTTCACGGCTTCTTCCCTTGTAAAAGCAATTTACTTATTATTAATATATTTTCCTTTGTGAAAATATATGGCTCAACAGTGTGATCAGTATATATCTTCGAATGACTAACACTCCATTTGATAATTGGGTTGTTTTATGCTTTGTTTGGTCGATGACAAAATGCGTTGTATTAATATTTGTTTGGTTGATGAGAAAATGGAGTAAACTTTAAATATTGAGCTACTTATGGGAATGCGTGTAAATAATATGTCGAGAGATAAATTTATTCAAGGGATGAATTGTGCTATTTCATTCAAACAAGTGTATGTACTGCTTTGATTCGATAAGCAATGTCAAAATATATGAAAATAAATTTGTCTAACTGTGCGACATTTTAAATTTATACATAAGCGTATATCAAATATTGTATTCTTCTGTAACATATTGTATTTAATACTTATATAAAGTACTAGATTAATATATGATCATTAACTTTGGTGTGTTTGACATCCATGTAAACTTTAAAGTGTCCAAGAAAAGAAAACAAATTTAAATGAGAAATCCCAATTTTGTCAATCCTAAGATTCTTAAAATTGCTTGCACCATTTCCAGTTGTAGTGAACAAATAATCATTTCTCATAATGACTTCAAGATGGAATTGTTGATTTGATGTAAGCTAACCCATGGAATTTTTATGCTCTAATACCTGAAATATGAGTATGCAATTAGTATTCATATAGATGGTTATGTTAAACGATAAAAGCATCTGCTTTAAATTTGTCCTCAAAATTTATGCTTGGTTGTAATCATTTTTTTGCTTACTTGTTCATATAACATTTTATATTCGTTTAATATTTGAATTTATTTGTATTAACTTGGTTATTGGAAAGGCGCTTCTAGAGGTAGCATTGGCGTGTAAATCATGAGGAATCAAGGGATGAAGAGGAATGGTGAGGTGGAGGGCCAAAAGGCATTGCCTGTTGGGATAATTGGTGCTCTCAATTTCGGAAAGTCTGCGTTCACTAATTTTATGGTTTGTTCTTAAATTTCTCTTTTATGATTGTGTGGGCTATCATCTACCCCTGTCTCTTGCAGATTTTCTTTTGACCAAGATCCAAAGACATTACTTTTTTTTAGTCTTTTATCACCTGCAAACACTGTACCATTCTGACCAAGATTTTCTCTATCCTCTCCCCTTTTTACAACCATTAATGAAACACCATGAAGTTTCATTTCCTGCTTTTTATCAGTTCCATCTGCATTTTTTGAAACTAGAAGAGTGAACTTCATGCAGTACAACATTAGAGAAAAACCTATGCACAACCAATTTCTTGGAAGGACCAGAGATTACTTTATAAAGGTATCTTGATATCTCATAGGATTCGTAATGAATTTCAACTCACAATTGAAAAGTTGTTTTACCTGTTTCAACTCATAGATAATTTAATCCATAATATATCTTCATACTATAATTACCAAAAGTATTTTTCTCCAATACAAAGATACTTGTTGTAAGACTAATTAATCAATATATCAATAAAACATAAACAATTAACTATGTAAATTGGGTTTATAACTCTTTCCTGTTTGTATTCCCTATCTCTGATGTAATAGCCTCTGATGCAAGCATCATTATAATGCCAATTTTTTAAGATTGATCTCAGTTCACTTGCTCTGATTGATCTCAGTGTGTTGCATCATCTGATATCAATTTTATACATTTTATTGAATACATTTTTGTTGGAATTTATTAGGTTTATTTAGGAAATTAATTAGAGATTTGATTTGATTTTGTAGTAGGGTATTTTTGGCATATACGCATTAGGGTTTCTTTGGTTTATTGCTCTATAAATAGAGCTTGTAATTTAGTTAGAGAATAATTCATTCACAATGTAGTCTCTAGGGTTTTTGTAGCCGTCTCGGCATTCTCAATTTGTTCAATAAAATTCTTATTATTTTGTAGTCTTGTTTGTTCCGCACTCTGATATTCAACTTGGTATCAGAGCGGGTTCGATCCTTATGGTTCAATCCGTTCTTGTTGGTATCAATTTGTTTTGTCGCTTTTTGTTTTTTGGTTTAGTTTGGGTCTCGTTTAGGCTTTCGCTTCCGCTTTGGTCTATGTCCTTTGTTCTTGGTCACTCTGTTTTTGTTTGTTTTGTCTTTGGATTTCTGTTTATGTTCTTTGTCTTTGGATTTCGGTATTGACCGTCAAATTGTGTTAGTCTTGTCCGTAGATTTTTTACGTTTTCTGGTTTGGTTTTCAGTTTGTCCTTGGTAGTCTTCAAGAAAGGGAAAAAAAAAATTCTGTTTTTTGAAAAAAGGAATTTGGTGAATCCATCGCACTAGGATTTCTGCATTCCCCAGCCCCACCCTGCATCTGGATCTGTCCACAACCGTACCCTCGCGAAAAAAAAAAAAAAAAAAAAAAAAAAAGGAGGCTGGTGATGTTGGTTCGCACAAAAGAAAAAAAAGGAAGGAGGTTGGTAATGTTGGGTCGCACGTTGGTTCGCACAGAAGGTAAAAAAAAAAGGAAGGAATTGCACAGAAGGAAAAAAAGGAAGAAAGAAGGAAGAAAAAAAATATTTGGTTGGATTTTTTGTTTGTTTGTTAGGCATCGGCATCAACATTTGCACTGGTACTGGCATTGGAATCTTGCACTAGCATGGAAATCTTGCACTGGCATTGGAATCTTGCACTGGCATGGAAATCTTGCACTGGCATTGGAATCTTGCACTTGCACCGATGGAATTTCGTATTGAAATTGACATCGGAATTTGGAGGCTTGCATCCACATCTGCTTGTTGGCAAACTCATGTCGTGTACCGCCATGAGTTTGACGGGGGGTGTTGGAATTTATTAGGTTTATTTAGGAAATTAATTAGAGATTTGATTTGATTTTGTAGTAGGGTATTTTTGGCATATACGCATTAGGGTTTCTTTGGTTTATTGCTCTATAAATAGAGCTTGTAATTTAGTTAGAGAATAATTCATTCACAATGTAGTCTCTAGGGTTTTTGTAGCCGTCTCGGCATTCTCAATTTGTTCAATAAAATTCTTATTATTTTGTAGTCTTGTTTGTTCCGTACTCTGATATTCAACTATTTTTACTCTCCTCTTTTAAGAATTCATTGAAGAAGTAATATTTTGCTGAGAATTTTGTGGGATTTCCTGAAGCACGGAGTCTCTTTACATAGTCCAGTTAATATTGCTTAGTGTTGACGTATAAGGGAACTCTCATTGCATCAACCTGAACAAACATGCTTTTGCTTAGTTGCTGACCCTGTTAATTTTTATGCCCTATTTGCCTTCTCCATTTCCAGTTGAATAAATTGGTTAAAGTGTTTTATGAGGTAGGTGACTGTAATGTATATTGGTAGACAGTTAATGAACGCCTCAATGACCATTTTGATTTGGTTCCTTATGTATCTACGTAGTATCTAACTATATAACATTCTTTTGTATGATCCTATATATACTAGATTTGTTTGCTGTTGCACTATATTTAACCTTGATTCTTAACTAATGTTTGATGGTGGATACGTTGTGCTTTCATTCAGGACTTTCAAAATTTGGACATGGCATGGGCTTTCCTAGCATTATATGTCATGCTTATGAGATTAGGGTTCTAACTTGAGAGGGTAATAAGCCTAATAATTTAGTTTTGTTTGAATAACGGTAATTGGTTGTTAATACGTTGGGAAGACGGATCGACTAAGACTATTATGTGTGGTTTTGTAGACTGTTTTTGGTTCTTTATTGAATATTTTCCACATGTTTAACAAAGTCTTAAAACCCACGGCATCACGTGGGCTCAATTTCTAGTCCTATACTAAAACAGTATCCTAAACAAACACTACTACAAAATGGTCTTATAGTGTTAGTGGGTGGTGTCGGTTTAATCTAATATATTGGCGGATAAGACAGTTGTGACACTAACTGAACATGACGTCCCCTTTATTGTCGCTTATAAGCGTCATAAAATACTGGTGTCACTTTTAAACTGACATAAACATACATTTTAATATTTTTAAATACTTGTGTCACTTTTAAACCGACGTAAACATACATTTTAATATTTTTAAATACTGGTATCGCTTTTAAACCAACGTAAACATACATTTTAATATTTTTAAATATTGGTGTCGCTTTTAAGCGACATAAAGTATCAGTGTAGGGGCAAACGACTGGAAGAGCTTTTTCAGTCAGTGTTGAAAAGGTCTCCTTATTTCGATGCCACATCCAAGTGCACTAACATGTCAGGCTCACGTCGGGTTGAACCGATGCAAACTTGTCCTATTTTGAGGTCGATTGCTACGATGGTCAAGACTGTCAGGGACACGTCGGTTTTAACCAACGCAAACTTTTCCTTATTTCAACGCCACACAAACTTATCCTTATTTTTTTAAATATTTTAAAGCTTGCGTCGGTTCTGAGTGACATAGATTTTAGTTTTTTAAAATATTTTAAAACCCAGTGTCAGTTGTAAGCGACAGAATAATGGTCTTTATATACTTTCCCCTGTGTTTTCTTTTTCCTCTCTTGCATTTTTCTTATTCGTTCTTCCAATTTCAAACCCTCCTTGTGTTTTCTCTCTTGCCCTTTCTTATTTGTTCTTCCTACTTCATTTCTTCCTTCTTCACAACAGTAAGTTTTTCTTGCTTCTAATATTTTTATTTTCTCCACTTATGTTTAATTTTTATTTACAATTTATTTTTGGAATTTATTTGAGCTGGTTGAGTACATAAAGATTTGATCGACGACGAAATTCTTCCATAATTCAGGTTTCTATCGCTAAATTCTTTAATTTTTAAATTGTATAATACACAAGTTTATTTATTTAAAAATTCTAATTTAAGTACTTAAATAAATTTCTACTATTTTTGTTAAATTAATAAATATTTCGTCGAATTAATTAATTTTTCACTTGAATTGTTATGAGAAAATGGAAATGAATAATATTTATAAGCATTTATGTGAAATGGACATATTAAATACAACATAAACTTATAATATTTAGTAATATAAGAATATATTTGTTAAATTAATTTGTTTTGCACTCTAATTGTTATTTTAATTTGTTTTTGTTGTTATTTTGA